TCTAAGGTGGGCACTTTTTCCTTTGATTTTATATACACGATGAATATATTTTTAGAAAAAAAGTATATACGGGAATTCTTAAAAACACAATGGTTTTTAAGAAAAACATGAATATTTTTTAAAAACGTAAATTTTATAAAATACATAAAATTAATTATTATTTAAACTGCTTCTTCACAAAAGTTTTCATTAAATCTATTATAAAAAAGGAAATTGCTAAACTCGCATGGGTGACAAAAGGAAATGACGAAATGGGGAGACGGCTTAAGTTTTTTTAGTGTAGGGGAGACGGCTTAAGTGAGAAGCGGAGGAGGGGCAAGCTTTTTTTTTTAACGGAAGGAGGGGGAAGCTATGTTGTAGGCTGTCAAAGAACCGGGCCTAATAAGAGCACTCAAACTCGCTCGGCCTTGGGCTTGCACTCGGTGACAGAAAAGTTTCCAAAAGAAAGGTGACAGAAAAATGAACTGAGGGGCCTATTCCTCACCCATTCCGGCCCACGAACACATGCGCTTGCGTGTTTAATGGACAGGACGACGCAGTGGGAGGCCAGTCTTTTTTTTTTTTTTTGCCGGGTGAAGGCCAGTTGGTTTGATGCCAATATATCGCTTTACCAAAAAAATTGACAAACCAACATTTAGCAAAAACAAAATTTACCATTTTTTTCTTTGAACTAAATCCACGACAATTATTTTGGATCCCTCATCCAGATAGAAGTATTTTTTAACTTGCCAAATTGTGCAAGACAAATGTTGGCATCAAACCAATCGATCTCTAAGTGTCATACAGGAGCACTCCTAATCAAGTACACACTGGGACCGGGTGTTTCGCATACTCAAAGCTTGTATATACATTAAATTTCTTCTTGAAATACATGCATAATGCACACTCAAGCTTGGAGCATTTCCCGCTCAAGCCAAGTAAGAGTAGAGTGGTGGTGGATCAGACAGGTTCTCCATTTATAAACTGGGACACCATCCTGCCAAAACCCTGAAAAGGTAATAAACAACTCCCTACATCCCATAATATAAGATCGTTTTTGATACTTACACGCAGACGCACCATACCCATCTAATTTTCTTGTTCAGTTGTAGCTTGTTTCCCTTCTGAAGCTGCTGCGATTTGCCTGCTTCGAGCCGTCGGCAGCGCCGCCGGGAGACACGAGGTTGCTCAGCGCCCTCGCTATCTGCAGCTTGACCTGCCCCCTCTTCGCCGGAGGCCTCTTCTCCTTGCCGCTGCCGCCGCCGCCGCTGCTGTTGTACCGGTACTCGTACTCCATCGCCTCCGCCGTCCGATCTTCTTCTCTGCTTCTTTCGTGTTGTGTACAGTGTAATGTACTGTGGTGAAGCCAGGTGCTCATTTGTGAAGGGGGTGAGGACCTAGAGAGGTATTTATAGGCGTATGTAATGTACGTTGCCTGCACCAGTTGGTGTGTGGATCCTATATTCGTATTTATTCACTTATATCTGCAGGAATAAAGTGGCCGTGCTTTTGGGGTCATGGCGTTCCGAGTGTGAACGTATCTGAATACCGGGGGAATCCAACTATCGAAGTGTAACAACGCTCCTACACAGCCGACACATTGTGGACGATTTGGAGACGATGCAGCGCATCAAGCCATCCATGCAATTAGCAAAAGTGAGCATCACCGTCCACTCCTCCCGTCGTCCACAGTTCGGCCGGCGACTGTCGTCCGTACAGCAATTTCGGAAGTGTAAACGGAATCACGGAACTAAATTCACCGGAGAATTTGTGCCAATCTCAAAGATACACGCCTGCGCTTTCACCTTCTCCCAACCTCGAAGACACGCCTGCTTGATATAGTTTCTATCGACCAAAGTATATAACGCCGTGGACGGAAAATGTGTAATAAGGCCAACTCCCCCGTATGACCCCAAACGGACGTCCGGTTTGACCGGATTTTATCCCTTTGGGGCGTCGATGGGTTCGCCCGTGTCCAGCTTTGTCCATTGGGTCGTGCGCGCGTCCACCGCGCGGCCGCACCCCAAATCACGTCCATGTCAGAACATGATTAAAAAAAAAGAAAACATAAGTAAAATGACTAAAAAAAGTAAATAAACGCAGTTTAATAAACATAATACTTAGTTAGGGGGGTCACGGCCACAAAACGGCCCAGTTTCACGTCCAAGTGACATTAATAATTAAACAAAAAAAGAAAAGAAAAACGGCCGCCGCCCGCGCGCTCCTGCCCGTGCCCGTCAATGTCGTCGCCGTCGCCGTCTTCAGTGGCCGCCGGTGTCGTCGTCGTGGCTGACGAGGTCGACGTAGGCCGACGGTGCGTGGTAGACGGGGGCGGGCTGGATGGCGGGAGGTGCCTGCACCACCTCCTCCCGTGGCGACGCCTCCCGCTCCGATGACCGCGGCGGAGTGGCGCATCAGTTCACGCCCACGCCGGCGGCCATCTCCGGAGCACTGCAGGACCAGCCCCACCCCTGGACCAGCAGACCCAGGTGGAACGCGGCCACCGGCTCCTCCATCTCCGGCTCCGCGGCCACCATCTCCAGCTCGGGAATGGCTACCTCGCCGGCGGCAGAGCGGGCCATCATCTCCTCAAGGCCCTCCCATTTGGCGCTCATCATGCGTGCGGATGGAGTCCTCCATGACATGCGCCATGAGACGGGCCTCCTCCTCCGCTGTCATGCGAGGAGGTGGTGGTGGCGATGGAGATGGCGAAGGCGGCGGCGTGGGCGTGAGGCCGCACACCCGCCTACGACCGCGCTCCTGGGGAGCAGCCGCTCGGCGCTCTGGGCGTGGCCGCCGTGGCCCCGTCGACGTGTCGGCGAAGAAGGACGCCCGCCGCGTGTCGTGCTCATCGCGGAACCAAGTGTCCCACAATGGCAAGTCGGGGGCGTACCTCTTGTCGTAGTAGAGGTCGTCCGGGAGGAGGCGGCGGCGGCGCTCGAGGCGGTAGTCGGTCACCGGGACGGGCGGGATCGGCACGCGGTCTGCCGACAGGTGCTAGTTGTTGGGGAGGTAGGTGTCGCTCCAGGGGAGCGGCGTCCTCGTCTCCCAGTAACGGCGGCACACACTAGCGCGGATGTAGTGCCGGTCGCGCTCGCCGGCGTACGCGGGGGCGATGGAGAACGCGGGCGGAAAGGGGGCCCGGCGTGGTGGAGACGCGGGCTCCTCCTTCTTCACGGAGCCGGCGCGGCGCCCCGACGAGGAGCCGGTCTCGCGGTCGTGCTTCCCCTTGCGGCCTTGGTTCCAGAAGCCCATGGCTTCGAGGTGGCCGACCGGCGAGCTCGAGGACGGGGTCGCCTAGGGTTTCGCTCTGTCGGGCTTCGAGGAGGCCGCGGGACGGAGTGGGGCAGTGTGGATGACCACCGGTCCACGGGTTGCCCATTTAAGAAGGACGGCCACCTTCCACTGGGCCAATGACAGGTGGGGTGGGCCGCCCGTGTGCATTGGTGTTGGCGGGTGGGAGGTAGGTGGCCGTCCCGCCACGCGGACGAGCGGCGCGTCCGTTCGTTGTCCGCGGCGACCCAAACTCGGAGCAAGTTTCTCTCCAAATGGGTCGGCCTGGACACAAAACGGATCAGATGGGTCCGGGCCGTCGCGTGCTGGGCCGTCCGGTTTGTCCGTTTTACCCTAAACGGACGGGGCCGGACAGGATAAGGTTGTGCGGTAGAGTTGGCCTAAGTACGTATCAGCTTTCCACTTGAAGATATTCTTTCACGAACAACATCTTTTGGAAGATCTTTCTGAAGACATTTACATCATCCTTTTGACGAAGATATTTCCACGGTGGTCGACCGAGAGAGAGAGAGAGTCCAGCTCTCGTTTCACGACTTTTGGCCAAGGTGCACGTGTGGATCAAGGATTGATTATGCGCTCCATAGGTTTGAGGAATATCTTCGGAATGTGCCCAGTGGCTCTTGCTCGAATCACTTAAAAATGTGGTGGTTGCGGGTGGGACTAGTAGTTCATGCATGCTGTATCATGTTTATCAAGTGATTCAGGTGGGAAATAAATATAAGTTTTTGGAAGAACAAATTGACTGCTTTTTAGGTAAGATCAAGGCACTAATAACCGGGGAATTTATGCTAGCTGTTAAAATAGAATTAGCGGTAGGCCCTGAATTTGTTAACTG